AAAAAAAAAAAAAAAGCCCAGCAGCAAAATCGAATCAAAAAATTTGTCTGCTTTCCAAACTTTCTTGAGATAAATTGGGCACGTGAAAATTTATGTAGGTTCATTTATTTATGTTGTCTTCTCTAATTTTTTGTGCCTCTGAGAAAGAAAGATGTCATAGATCTAAGGAAGAAGAAGATGTCAAAGAGTGATTTGATAGGCCGACAAGAGGTTGACCTTGGAATTATGAGAGTACCACTTGCCGTGCTAGGCGTCGATGATGGCGGAGGTCTCGACGGGGGATGCGGCGAGGGGCAGCGTTGGCGGGGGACGCGGGACGCGGACGGCAGGGAGGAAGTTTTGGGTGGGAGATCTCGACTGGTGGACAGATGAGAAGAAGACACAAAAAAATGAAGAATGAGAATGGGTAATTTGGGTATTTTTAATTGACTTGGAAATAAATGATACCCCATCCCACCTCAATGCTCGGATACGGAATAACAGAAAAAGGGAAATGCAACCGGGCTTTTGCGGGTTTAACGGGCTATACAAGGGGCAACCAAACAAAATAAATAACTTGATATATTAACAAATGGCAGGATATCAAGCCCAGGGGCCCAGTTGCTGGGGTCGTCCGACACCGACGCTTTGCGTTGAACCACTTGTACGTAACAAAATTTCACCGTGTAAGACCCCATTAAAAAAATAATAAGACCCCGGCAGCAGGGGCGGATCTATATAAGACACCGTGTAAGACACCCCGACCCCAGCAACCAAAATTTCTGGCTTCGCCCCTGATCAAGCCCAATCCTCTAAACCAAACGCAACCTTATTATATATCTATATATATATTATAGATTTTGATTAATTTTAAATGATACAAATTCCAGTTATGATATTACCTTTGAAACATTCTATAAAAACGTGAACGCGACGTGTGGCTGAGCATGTAGAATTCGATAAATATTCTACTATTTTGGTTATTATAAAAGATACAAGACTTATTAATCAATTACATTACAGTAACTAAATCTTTCCCATTTTATTTCTCTTATTTTTATAATCATTTTTCTATTTATTTTTTTCAGTTGTGTTCTCAAATTTTATTTTAATCAATTACATTTCTGTGACTAAATTTTCCCATTATGTTTCTCTTACATTTTATAATCATTTTTCTACCTTTTTTAGTTGTGTGCTCAATTTTTATTTTTGTACTAATTTCATTAGGCCCTTGTGTGTAGGAGGTTTCAGGGCAATTCATTCCAAGGTCCATACCCCAATCGTTTTCCAATTTAACCGCTCTCAACGACTTGTACGTGTTTTGTTATATCCATTTCTTGATTTCCTCTTTGTATTTCAAGATTAATATCTACTTATTCAAATTATTTTTCACCTTTGTCGCTCTTAATCACTATGCTATGATTTGTATTTATTTTTTTACATTATGATATGTTAATTAGGAGAATAAGTGGTCTAACTAATGGAGGCACTTCATTGGACTTCCTCATAGGCTTGAATTCTCTATCTACCTTGTAAGAACCCATAAATTCAGAAAATAACATTTTTAATGCCAAAAGAACTTATAATTATAACTATTAGTAAAAGTATTATTCCTGCTATTTTTCTTTTTTAAAAATGTGCAGAATTTTGGAAAACTGTTGGAATGATGACCTCTCAACTAATATTTGCTTATCCTGACACATGCATGC